TCGATCGTTTGCACTCCCCTGGTAGAACCAGGGTCAACCATCGGAGCCTTCACTACGAACACGAGTAACCTAATTTTTCTAGTCCCATTAATATTCTCAAGACAGATACAGGTTTTTATGCAACAAATCGGTTTCGATGCAAGAGTGGTTTCAGCAACCTCGGCCGCATGTGGATGGGGATTTTTGGCAATTTCGGCAAGATTTTAGTTGTTTTATGGATTTCGTTCTTGTAGTTACTTTTAAATATATTGTTTCMAGGCTTTTKTGTTTAAGAGGGAAGTTTAGGCGTGGAYTAAGAGGCGRTAAAGTTGGAGGTTCCAAGTCAACTACACTAATTGAAAGGTCAATTTATTATTGATTTKTGAACTGCTCCTTAGCAAAAAAGTTTATGCGTGTWTTGCTYAGCCTCAGTCCCAACTTTCACAGCCTCAACATGAAAAAAAGTGGGGCACCYKAAACTCTCGTAAATAATGCGGCCGAATATTGCGAGAAAACCAGGCCGGGAAAATTAATAACAACCGGCAAAAGATGAATCCTCCCTCAACGCTCACAGTTTGGCTGCATCAAGCAGAACTCGCCCCAAGTTAGCATTATGTAACGCCATCTCATCAAAATCAATTCAAAAATCCCGCAATTTGCAGCTGATTATCCTCGATTCCCTGGGGAGTTCAAAATTAAGCCAGCAGAAGATCATTAGGTTCAAGGATAAAATCGCTCGATTGTAAGACTTCTGCAGAAGTTCGACAATGTAGCAGACTCTACACAATGATTGTGTGGATAGAGTGGACTGTGGACTTACGTTTAAAGTCTTTTTCGTCGTATTTGGGCTTGGTGGGTGGCGGCATTTCCTTGCTGTCCCTGAAGTTGAATACTGTGGACACTCCACCATCCATGGCGAACACTTTGGCGCATTCTTCGTCCAGTTGCACTTCGGATTCTCCTTCCGCACTGCCATTTTTATTCTGCTGCAAAAGAAAACAGTTATCAAAAACTATCACTGGCTGGGGACAAAGCGGTTCATAATCAGGATAATCTAGCGACTGAAGGGCCGAATTAATGATTGTTTAGGGCATTGTGCTCTTTTGATCCGGAGGCTTGATGCTCGCAAAAGGGCGCAAATAGTGAATTAAGGCTGCTGAACATGAAAGGCGACTTTCAGTGGGATTAGCCGATGAGGTGAACGTTTTACCGACTGGCAAAAGTTCAACGAGTTGCCCTTTTCTCTTGGTGCAAAACCGGGAAAGTTTCTGTGCCAATTTCTTCATTTCTTAGGATGTTATATTAGACACTCGGTCTAAACCGCTCTAGCTGAGTGAAACTTTCCCAGCGTATTGCACAGTGCCAAGTCCAAAAAACGTTGAAAGTTTCAAAGAATTTCAGCTCCCAGCTGAATTTGCAGAATTTTTCCAAATTACTTTGGGGACCCAAAGGGAATTGATTGAATCGAGCATGGCAAAGCTCAATTGCGTATAACTCTGCGAGTTCAACTCTCCGCCTATTTATACTTGCCAACAAAATGCACGGAACTGAGCCTAATAAACGGGGAGAGTTTGAAAATTTTAGACTCGCAAAGAAATTGTGGAATTTTCCAAAGTGTGCAGACCGAAACAAAATCGACTCGATCGTGCATGGCGAAGCGCAATTTACGTGAAAGTTTCAAGAAATTTCAAAATCCTGTTGAAGTTGGGGAATTTTTCAAAATTGACTTTTCAGACCTAAACAAAATCGACCGAATCGTGCTTGGCGAAGCTCAATTCAGTGTAATTTTGCGAGTTGAACTCTCAGCTAATTCAAACTCACCACATCAATGCACAACGCTGAGCTTAATAAACTGTGACAGTTTCAAGAAATTTCAAAACCCTGTTGAAGCTGGGGAATTTTTCAAAATTGACTTTCCAGACCTAAACAAAATCGACCGAATCGTGCATGGCGAAGCTCCATTCAGTGTAATTTTGCAAGTGGAACTCTCAGCTAATTCAAACTCACCACATCAATGCACAACGCTGAGCTTAATAAACTGTGACAGTTTCAAGAAATTTCAAAACCCTGTTGAAGCTGGGGAATTTTTCAAAATTGACTTTCCAGACCTAAACAAAATCGACCGAATCGTGCATGGCGAAGCTCCATTCAGTGTAATTTTGCAAGTGGAACTCTCAGCTAATTCAAACTCGCCACATCAATGCACAACACTGAGGGTAATAAACCGTGAAAGTTTCAAGAAATTTCAAAATCCTGTTGAAGTTGGGGAATTTTTGAAAATTGACTTTCCAGACCTAAACAAAATCGACCGAATCGTGCATGGCGAAGCTCCATTCAGTGTAATTTTGCAAGTTGAACTCTCAGCTAATTCAAACTCACCACATCAATCCACAACACTGAGGGTAATAAACCGTGAGAGTTTCAAGAAATTTCAAAATCCTGTTGAAGTTGGGGAATTTTTCAAAATTGACTTTCCAGACCTAAGCAAAATCGGCCGAATCGTGCATGGCGAAGCTCAATTCAGTGTAATTTTGCGAGTTGAACTCTCAGCTAATTCAAACTCACCACATGAATGCACAACACTGAGCGCAATAAACCGTGAAAGTTTCAAGAAATTTCAATATCCTGTTGAAGTTGGGGAATTTTTCAAAATTGACCTTCCAGACCTAAGCAAAAT